AGGTGTTTAGAGAGGAGCCTATGTTCCCTCCCAGACTGTATATGGGAGGCGGAACCCCCTATTTTGCATACATTTCAAAGCCTCCAGAGGAAGTGCTCCCTCCCTTTGGTCTGTTCTCAGTTCCCTGTCTTGTCACCATGGCAGCAGTTGCCAGGGGCTGCCATGGTTGCTAAGATCTGGATGTGGGAGGCTGCCAAGTACTGTTGCCAGTAGAAACAGAGAATCCTGGGGGGGTGGGGGGAGGAAGACTATCCCCACAGTTGCCAGCTCTGTTCAGTGACAGGACTGGCCTTTGGTCCTGCTCTTTCCCCAAATTGTACCTATGATTTTTATGTGATAGTAAACTGGCTGCGGGGAGTGGGGGTGGGTTATAGGAAGCTGGAACTGGAATTCCACTATTTGAAAAGAAAGGGCCTGTTACCATCTTTAAAATTAGCAAGTCCTTAGAAATTAGTGACTGCCTCATTCTGTCCCCCTGTCCCTCATTCCTCTCCCCTGGAAAGTGTTCTTGCTTGAATTCTCTGTTGACTGGGTGCTTATCATCTGATGTTTCCTCCTGGGCATAAGAATGCTGCACTGACTCATTACCTTGGATGCAGACTGACTCCTTGTAGTGAGACTCTTAGTACCTCTCCCAATTCATACTTCATATTGACACCTGAGCCAAAGTTTTGGTCCCATACTGGTTACAGCCTGAGACATTAACTCTGATGATAGTCCAGGATGAGACAGTACCCCAAATCCAGTGTAAGTCTAAACCCTTTTCTTAGACATGCTGAAATCTAATTTTGATTCCAGGTAACTTGAACTCATTCTTAGGGTCATTCTGATCCTGCACACTGTCTGAGCACTGACCAGGGATCTGACTTCCTGGTACTTTCAGGTTCTGAAACTATACTGATCAGTACCATAGCATTTAAAGGGGCTATTTTTGGCTTTGAGATGAGATGGCAGTGCTAGGAATGACCAGCAGAGGGCGTGCAGCATCAGGTTCTAGAGGCAAGCTTCCAAGACTCCACCTGTGAACTAAAGAACAACAAAAATAAATAAAAATTTTAAAAAAGAAGTTTTCAAGTTTTTGATGTCATGTGACAATGTCTGTGGGTTCTTAAAGTTATGGATATACTTCTTCCATCTCAGTTGGCTCAATCTGGGCACGTGCCAAAGGTTATCTTAATGGTTCACGGGCATGTCAGGTCTCAGAAAGACTTAATACCTGGTAAGCTATCTCCCTCCTAAGTAAGCATCTTCTGTCATGTGATTACACAGCTTCACTGCCTCTTCACAGACTCTTTAGGTGCTAAGAGTCTGACTATAAGGAGTCAGTCTGCATCCAAGGTAATGAATCAATGCAACATTCCTGGTATCCAATTATCTTTTGTCCCACTGAGGATAAATCTGCCTTTCCATAGTGTCCACCTTTTGTCTTAGTTCTTGGGACTATATCATCAACTTTATTGGCCTATCTGCCAGACATCTATCTGTCAGACATTTGCATGCCTCATGTCTGCCCCTTTCCAGGGCTTGTGTCTTCATGGGTTCCTCTTCTACCTTGTTCAGCTCTAACCACTAGGTCCATGTTCCTCTTCATACATTTTAGTTTGTAGTACCTGGCTCTGATCAGCTTTTTTAATTTTTTTTGTAGTTGTATATGGACAGCATACCTTTATTTTATTTGTTTATTTTTATGTGATGCTGAGGATTGAACCCAGTGCCTCACATATGCTAGGCAAGTGTTCTGCCATGGAGCTACAGCCCTAACCCCTCTGATTAGCTTTTTTCCGGAGTATTGATATAGTGTATAAATGAGGCAGCCTGCCTCCCTTCTCTGACTCTGAACTTCTTTCTATGTAGCTTTAGATTACATTGATTCATTTTTTGGTAGCCACCTCATATGGTTGCCACCTCATTTGGTTCACTCGTATCAAGACCACAAGCTCTATTTTCCCCTGAGCTGCTAAATTACTTCCTGCCCATTTGTACCTGTTTTGATTTTGAAAAACTAAAGATATTTGAAATAAATATAACACATTTGACAATAAATTTTGTATTTTAGGCTAATCTTTGAGCTTTGAAGTCTCTGCATTTGATGTTTACTTAAAGGTGGGACAAAGAAGGATTGAAGGTCCTCAGCTGGCTTGGCTGTGACTTCAGCACTTTGGACAGAGGCCACTGGCAGTACCCCCCAGCTATGCCTGGGACTGTGGGAGGGTGGAAGATGACATACTTAGTTTCAGACGAAGCATAAATCATTGCTGCTCACTCAATGCCTTAGAATGTTTAAAGCTCTCTCCTTTTACCAATTTCACTCTGTCCTCAACTCAACTACCAACCAATTTAGGAGGCAGACAGGACAGGGATTATTTTCTGGATTTTTACAGCAAGGCCAAACTCCAAGCACCCTTGGAAAGCATGATGGGGTGTAGAGGGCACACTAGTTACTCCATGTTTATTAAATTTAGCAGCCACTGTTTCCCTTTGGGGGATGAATTTACTTAGGGATGGAAGAGTGCACCTGAGCCAGAGCAAGTGGCAGGACAAGGTGGGTAGAGGTTTGTGTGGAACAAGTGGCAGTTGATAGGAGGAACAGTCTTGGAGGGTCTAAATCTCTAGCCAGGATTGCTGGACTGAGGATGGAGAAACCTTTTTCTGGCCCACAGATACTCAATCTTTATGCCTCCATTTCTGTCCTGATATTCAGCTTCATTGAGTCTGGAGACAAGAAGAGGTTTGTGTGATGGTATTAACTTACCTTTGAGTCTGATGGACAATTTTCTCCATGGGAAAACTGCAGGCAGAGAGATATGGGAGCCCAACGAGTGAGTGGGATGAGTTGTGCAGGTGGAGAGAAATCTGTAATGTAACTACAGCCTGGTTACCTGTTTAGGTCTATTCCCAGACACAGAAGGGGTATGTCCTAGCCCCTTCTACAGTCATTCCTTTTAGGTGTACTTTGATAGGCAGTACAATAAAGTGGCTAAGAACATAGGCACTGAGGACTGACTACTTGGTTCCTCCACTTCCTACTGTGTGATTAAGCAAACTTGAGAAGTGCAAACTGTTCATATTTCTCATCTGTAACACAAACCTCACAGGGTCTGTTGTTGTTTTGTGGTTCTGGGGATGGAACCCAGGGATTTGAGCTTGCTAGGAAAGTATTGTACCACCTTACTCCCCACACAGGGTAGTTTTGAAGATGAATGTGAAGCACTTAGGACTCCCCACTGCATAATACATATTTAAAAATGTTAGCAATTACTTGTTCCTGGGACTTCTGTGGCTTTGGAGGTAGTGTCAGCATCTTATCCACAGCGTAGAGAAGCTGAGGTACTGGCTTTTCTAACCAGGTAAAGGGATGAATGGGGATTTCATTGTCCTCCAAATGCCTCTATAAACCTTAGTTTTCCCAATTCTATCATATTACACTAAAACAGTTTGTAAAAGTGGGAAGGAATCTATCAGGCTAGGGAGGTCCCAGAAATTCAGGAGAAAACAGCCAACTAGCTTCCATATTTTGTAGTTTAGCAGGAACTGGAAGAAGTGTCTAAAATGAACCTTTGGTGAGGAGGGGGACAATATATAGCCGACAGGCTGGAAGCCTTTATTACTTCTTACTAAGGCTCTCCCCTTCAGTACTCCTGCTGCATTTCCCTTCTGTGTTTGTATGTGTGGTGCTCCTACACACACCCTCATTATTCGATTCTTGGGAAAGCCAGGGCCAGGAAATCTCTAGAAAGAGAGCCACAGTTATCTTATCCCCAGACCCAGGAATTGGTCAATGATGGGAAACCACAGAGAAATAGCCTGCCCATTTCGAGGTTCCCCAAACAACAGGAATCAGGAAACTGGAATAGCATCACATTTTCTTTATTATAGTTTCCACTGTGCCCAGCTTCTAGGTGCTCCTTCTTGGAGTGCTGTGAAGGCTGAGCCATGGAAGGAACATGCAGCTATAGATGGGAAGACAGGGCTTGGGATGGTCCCCCTTAGCTTACTGTCAAGTTACCTTCTGCAGAAAAGTAAATGGGAAAGGCATGAGGGACCAGAGGGCACTGGATCCTTCACTGTTACTCAGGGGCTCTCAGAGATCCCTCTCACAGCCTATGTTTGGGAGACAGATCAAGGACATCCCTAACAGTTGGAGCTAAGCTTGAAGGCCTTTGTTCACCATGGATATGGGAAGGCCCACCCAGTGCTATGCAAACTGAAATGTGGTTGGGCTTCTTAATCATTGGTCCAAATGAGACCTGGCCCCCTCTCCATGCTGTGGATCATTGGGGAGTATAGCCCAGAGGGTAACAGTTTTTCCTTAGTGCTGATTGGGACTAGTGGAAATTCTATAAACTGATTATTTTCTTTTCAAGATTGGCAAAAATAGTGGCAGCAGGAAAACAACATCAGGGAAAATGCCCAGCTCCACTCCACCCTAGGGTTGAACTGTTGGGAACACAATGCACTGATAGGGCCCACTCAGGAAATCTCCATTGTCTGGGCTGCAGCCTGGGGCTGAGAGAGATATCCTGGGCAAATTCAAGCTAACTGGCAGGAGAAAGTAGCAATTTTATTCCACTGTAAATAGGAGAATACAAAGGGACTTCGGTTACAAATACTGCCAGGATGACCTGAAATTCTGGCAGAGATTGTCCTGCCTTTTAGTGGCAAATTCAGAAGAACAATCATGTGATGCATAATGACATTTCAACCAACAATGGACTGCATATGGTCCCGTAAGACTATATTGCCTAGTAATGCCATAGACATTTTGGTTTGTGTAAATATATGCTATGATATTTGCATTGTGAACAGATGGCCTAATGGCACAGTTCTCAGAATGGATTCCCACTGTTAAGTAACACATGACTGTGTACATCTGCCTTTACTCTGCTGCTTTGAAGGAGACATACCTGCAGGAATATTATGGCCTGCTGTCAGTTTTCAGACCTGCCTAGAGGTTACTCTTGGCTATGGGGTGGTCATGGCCTGACCTGGGCCCTGCTAGACAGATTCTTCTGAGCCTCTCTTTTGGTGTTAGGGCTTCCTGGCACCACTCTTTCCAAAGGTGTGATGCCTGCAATAGTTGAAGTTGTGCTTTGGGCTAAGAGGCCTGGGTACAACCCTGGAGCTTACTTCCCAGTGAGGTACCCTCTTCCCAGGCAGTTTGATTCTGTGCTTTCCATATTGATGAGAGGAATTTGGGAGCCCTAAGATTCAGCCATTTAAGCAAACCTGGGGTGACATCCCATAGGGAGCACCAGGGCCAGAAAGGTGGGTGTCTGCCCTGCTAGCCTATTGCTTGGGCTGAGGGTAGAAAGAGGCAATGTATTCGTGGCTTCTGCTGCAGTTGTCCTCAAAGAAAGAGCACTTGAGAGTTGGATCAATATCTAGGAGTGAGGAAACTGCTCCATCCCTGGGATACCATAGGGGCCACTGCTCAAATGTTCCACTGGGGAAGGCAAAACAGCAGACCTGGACAGTCACTTCCTCAGTGACCCTCAGTATCATCCAGATGCCCTTTTATTTGAATAAAAGTGTAGAGGACAGCTGTGTGAAAAACAGGCTTAGGTTAAGTGGTCTTCAGGGGAGCATATGTGTAACTCATGCCTCCCATGGCTGGTGTCTGGGTGGGTGGTGCTTGGGGAAAGCACTGGTCTCAATTTTCAGCAGCCAAGAAGAAAAGGCTGAAACATTTTCTCATTCCCTTATTAGAGCCAGACACTATTTTTTATACTTGGCAGAATTTCAGACAATCACAGTGATGGAAATCTTGAAGAGGGAATGGGCCTTACAGAGGGTCTCTAGGGATTAGGACACTCCAAAGGGAAATTCTGGACAGGGGGATTGGGATGGAGTTTCTGCAACTCTGGACTGAAGAACAATGGACCCTTCCTCTGGTACAAAGCTAGATGTTTACACAGAAGAGACCAGCCTCCCTTGTGTGATTTTTCTGCTTCCCAGAACTGTTGTGGATTTGAAACTCTATTCTTTGCTGGGGGCAGTGTTCCCTAGGCCCTCTGTAGCAGGCTCTTCACCAAGAAGCTTCCTGACTTCAGACAGGGAGAGGGGTGATTTTAAATCAGCTTTTTCCCATTTTACAAGAACTCTGGGGCATGCTATGTAGGCCCTGAGACAGAGCAGCCTGGTCCGGCCCACAGTCTCTCACCACTCACTCATGGAGAGGTAGAAGCAGCAGCTCCAGAGCAATGAGCATCACCTTCATCTCTGAAGGATCAAGAAGCAAGAAGTTGGACTTTTAGTCTCTATATCAGATAAGGAGTCAGGAGAAAAAAAAAATGTCCAGCTCTCAAAGCCCAGAGCTTGTCTCTACTCAAAATGTCTTGTCTGTGAGACCCAGCAGCCCAGGGCCACTAGTATAGAGGATGACTTGCCAGGAAAGTAAGAGCCCTTGTGTTTAACGTGCTTTAATCTTCTCAGTGAAAATTACCAAGTCTGGCAGCTTTGGATACAGTTCTTGGGTCCAGGAGTCATGTGTTTGCTTTCCTTTTTAAAAAATAAGACTGAATAATGGCCCCTCTGACTGGATCAGTCCAGGGAGTATGGTTGATGAGTATTTACAGGGCTGTGAGTTTCAAAATGTTCAGGGCCATATATATACATTATTCTCCTGTTCATTTCAGTCCTAAAGAATCCATCCCCAGCAGCTTTTCACCCTGCGTCTAGCTCAAGCCATTCCTACAGAAGGAAACTACACAGGGCTCTTACCAAGCCCCTGGTGGCAGCTTCCTGCTTTCCTCTGAGTATCTCCACACCAAGTGGTATTCCTTCTTCTGTAAGCACCCAATTTAGTACAAGTGCCATGGAGCTTTTGCATGATTAAACTCAATTCCCTCTAGAATAACTCTTGGTAGTCAGATCTGGCTAAGTAATTCAGTTGACAACAGAAATCTAGAACCTAGACCCCAGGCCAAGGCTGACCCACACCACACACTGACTTGAGAACTTGGGAAGAAGGGCTGAGGCTTGCAGGCCAAACTTGGTGCCCTTTTGGTAGGTTCTGCTTATCTCTCAGAGTCCTCCCATGCCCAGGCCCCAGTATGGAGAGAATGACTGTAGAGAGCAGTGGGGAGAAGCAGCAACTGAAGCCACATCTCAGTGATGGGGAAAAGGAGAAACTTCTTCCTTCTGTGAAGTTCTACTGGGACATTCTCTGCTGGAGAGAGCTGAGACGCAAATCTTCACAGGCCCTAGTTTTCCCCTAACCTCATTGTCAGGATGGCTGAAAGAAGACCCTGCTCAGGACTACTGTAGCATTGCTCTCTCTTCAGCTGGGAAAGAGGCTGGCTCTGTTCTCCACACAAAGGCACACTTTTCTAGGGCTATGGTTGAGCTGGAACAATGGAAAAGAATGAGCCCTCTCCTTTCCTCTTCCCTGCAGACCTTGTCTTCATTGGTCTCTGTGGTAGCTGACTTGGGTGTGGCATTTAACACAGAGGGTTGATTCCTGCCAGCATATTTGTTCCATTCAGGTTCCTTGGGTTTTAGGCCATGTGCTAACAATCTGAAAAATGGGGGCCAGGAAGGCTCACATTGGGTTTTTACCATTCTGATAAAGACTTTTTTTGGATTTGGATGACCTGGCTGTGAGATTCCTAGAATTCTGGTCTCCAGGAGAGGCTGTCTCCCTCTTTTACAGCCAGGATCTCACAAGCAGTTACCTTATCTGTCTCAAAGAATTAGAATCTAAATAAATAATGGGTTAAACTGAAGTGGTAGTTTTGAACAATTTTTTCCATCTTCACCATACTCAGGGACATAACAGATACCTACTAGTAACATCGGCTCACCACAGAAGGGGTTTTCAATGTGGGCAGAGAGGGCCTCTCAGTATCCTCAGGAGGGAATGTGAATCTGATATGCTCCTTTGTTAATAATAACTTGGCCATAGTTTTGCCTATTGGAAATCAGAACTGGACAATAGATGAGTAGACACCTTTCATCCACACCAGGGGTTTCACAAAAGGACTCTGATCCTTTTTCAAATAAAAAGAACCAGCTTGACTGATATCCATGTGTGTGACTATATGTGCATGTGCACACTTGTATGCATATGGTGGCAAGTCCAGTCTATGATGTGAGGACAGGGGATGATCCAGGAGTGGATGCTGCCACAATTCTCAAGGATTTTCCCTGTGGCAATGTACTAACTGCCTCTGTTGTGAGGGGAATGGTGATTTCAGTGCCATAAAGCTTAATGACAAATTAAGATGCTGGCAGTGCCCAATCCCCATGAGTCTCAGAGCCAGAATTTGGTGGAAGGAAGAGGAAAAGGGAAGAAGGGAGAAGATGCCAATGCTCCTGAACCGAAACTTCTCTGTGCCATGCTATCCTGGGGGTTTCAGGTGAATGGCTGCACTATTAGGGCGAGCAGCCAAGATGTAGACAGCATTCTCTCGCAGGAAGGTGGGCCAGTCCACAGATCTGCAGTAGACATAAATAAAGAATAGGCTCATGAGGCTTGATGCAGAACCCAAAGGCTCACAAGACCTGATCCCAATGGGAGCATGGCTTAAGCCAGACAAAATTCAGGAAAGCCAAGTCTCATGCCTCTCATGTCTGACTGCTCTACCAAATCAGCAGATGGGCTGGCTGGGTCTAGAGAACTGGGGTCAAATGTGTACTCCTGGGGTCTGATGCCTGTGGAGAAGGCATTTGCTATTCTTCAGTAACTGTGGGTGATGCTCTCTCTTACTTATATATGTGTATTAGAGAGGGGAGGGTAGAGAAAGCTAGGTAAGGAGGTTCTACTCACCTGGACTCGTGCTCTGCAGGTAGTAGGGGCTTATCCTGACTTTTGCCACTGCTGCTGGCGGGGCTGCTGTCTGCTAGGGGACCCACGTGGCTGATACTGCTAGGCATAAGCACATGTGGTTAGGAGTAGAATAGTGAAAGGCCTGACTGCTCCCAAACTCTGGTGAACCCATGGCTCTGGATATGCCTCATCATGCTTTTCTGACATATGGCAACACAGTTCACCCTGTGAACTGGCCAACAGGAATAACAATCCTCTGCCTAATGCATAGGAGGATCCTTTCCCGGCTTTTGGTAGGACTAGCAGGAAGGTACCTTTCACACCAAGGGCCACTGGCTTGGGAAAAAAGAGAAGGAAGACTAAATGGGGGCAGAGATGGAAAGGAGCAGACCTCACACCACAAGAAGGAGCCTCTATGAGGCGTTTGCAGAACCAAGAGTGCTGGGCCCAGCGGCACTCTGCCTCACTGATGGTGTTCCCGCTGCCCCGTGCCAGGAAGGTGGCTCGGGCTCGTTCCCGCTCCTTGACTGTCAGAAGCCTCAACAGTGAATTCTGGGGAAGAAGAGACACATTAAGATCTTGGAGATGAAAATATCTTATAAACTGTCAAGCCACAGAGAATCCTACTCCCATTACCTAACCTTTACAACCTCCCTTGGAAGTTTCTAGAGCCTTTCTGGTAGAACAAACATTTTTAGGGGAGCTCAGTGTAAACCAATCTTTCTGGGGCAGTTTCTCCAGCCTGGGCACTTATCATCTGTCACTGGATGGAACCTGAATACATTCCTGATATTGGTTCCTGCTCAGACAGTATCCAGTATTCCCCCAACCTGCCCAGAATGCTTTCCAGACCTCTGTCACCCAATATCCCATGGAAATTCATCCCAGCTGCCCCTCACCTGGGGACGCAATTGCTGCAGGAGTAGTAGGGATTCATGGGACAAGAAGTCAGGCCACTCTATGTGGCCTCGATGTTCAGGGTCCATGGCTGCAAACTGGCGGGCTGCCTGCTCCTCTTGCTCGTCACTCAGTGCCCTGTCACTGTCCCCCCGCTTCGCTGCTTGGTGGCGGTAGCGAAGAAAGTCCTCCAGCGTCAGGGAGCAATCTGTGGGAGGCAGCTCTTTTTTTTTTTTTTTCTGTATTTGGGATTGAATCCAGGGCCTCACACATACTAGGCAAATGCTCTACCACATCCTCAGCTTTTTTAAAATTTTGAGACAGGGTCTCACTAAGTTGTTCTGGCTGGCCTCAAACCTGCAATACTTTCTTCAGCTTCCTGAAGAGCTGGGATTACAGGTATGTACCACCATGCCTGGCCATAGGAGGCACCTCTTGCTGGTCATACCCACCCTTACTCAGCCTTGGGCATCTCCACTTATTTCTAGGATGTCCTTAGTGCCTCCCAGCCACAGGTCTTGTTAAGTCTTTGCTTCTCATAGCCAGGTTAGTTCAGGTTATGCTGGGGTGGGTGCCTCTGCTGGCCAACAACTGAGGAACAAGAACCCATTTACCTCCTATCTCCTGAATCCCAGAACACTCTATTCATGCATGGCTCATCCTAGAAAGGATGAAGAAGAAATTTGGCCCTTCTTCCTCCTGGTAGCACTGGCCAGCCTTACCAGGGATGACTTTACACTGCTGAAAGGTCTCTGTTAGGCTATACATTTCTTCCTCAGTAAGCAGCAAGTTGAGATTGTCCTGAAAAAAAAGAAAAGCTGAGTCAGTGGCCATATAGGCCAGTAAGAAAGAAATGCTAAGGATCAAGAGGAACAGAAATAGTATTTCAACTGGAAGGCAATCCAAGATTACCTAATTCCTGCTTCCCATTATAAATCAAAGAGATTGAGGTCCCAGGAAGGGGAAAGAACTTTCTCAGAGTTGGCTAACTCTGGGGCAGAATTTTCTTCAGAATCCAGATGTCCCCTTTACCTAAATATTAGCTTTCAAATTATTTACTGAGCTAACATCAGGGTTTCTTGAAACTACCTTAGAAAGGTGCTGCAGGGGATAAGGAGGCTAGTGAGTGGGCACAGTTATAAATCCCTGTGCTCCTCAAAGAGAGCAGCTCCAACTTTATACATTTTATTTATCTAACTTCTGTGTTAGGTTGTGCCCAAAGAATATTTTAGCAAAAAAATGAATTCTAGCTCTGATCCTAGTGGATTATATTGCTTTAAATGAATCTGGAATGGTTTTAAAATAGATGCCATTATGACAAAAGATTCCTAAAACTAAATGAATTTTTTTGTGGTGACACATAAGTTTTAATTCCAAACAAGCATTGATATTTTGTTTGTTATTATTATTATTTGGTACCAGGGATTAAACTCAGGGGTACTCAACCACTGAACCACATCCTCAGCTCTTTTTGTATTTTATGCAGAGACAGGGTCTCACTGAGTTGCTTAGTGCCTTGCTTTTGCTGAGGCTGGCTTTGAACTCATGATCTTCCTGCCTCCACCTCCTGAGCCTCTGGGATTACAGGTGTGCACCACTGTACCTAACTTTTTTTCTTTTTTTTTTGGAGGGGGGATACTGGGGATTGAACTCAGGGGCACTCGACCACTGAGCCATATCCCCAGCTCTATTTTCGCTTTTGCTAAGGCTGGCTCTGAACTCACGATCCTCCTGTCTCAGCCTCTCTAGCCACTGGAATTACAGGCATGTGCCACTGTGCCCAGCTCTTGTTTGTTATTATTACTATCCAGTCCTTAAAATTATCTAAGATTTTAACAGAAGATCAATTCCCCCCTAAAATGCCAGCAAAGAACAGAAGCAGTTATTTCATTAATATTCATTTGTGGATTTCATAAAGAAACCAGTTTTTCAATAAACACTTATTGAGCACCTCATATATGCTAGGCACCACCACAGTATGTATGCAACACTGTGAGATAGTCAGAGAGTATATGTGTGAGGGGGTGGGGTGCAAGGAAAAGAAGTAGTTTGACTATAAAGCATCTGAAACTCCCTTGATTGAGCCTCTCAAGTTAGGTCTTTGTTCTAAAAGGAAAAGGAAAGAGGGGAGGCACCAAAGGAGAGTGCCATGTTCAAATCTCTGATTGCTGTGGGAAAATGAATTAGATGGGCAAAGTCTGGAGGCATGCAAAGCAGTTAGGTGGCTATTGCAATAATATAGGTAAGAAATGATTGAGTGGTTAAACTCATACATGAGAAAAGAGAAGGGGGAGGCATGTGAGAGATATTAGAGGTAGAGTCAACAGAGCTTGGTGACTTACTAGATATGAACTATGATGGAAAAAATGAGCGAGGACTAAATTGGGGGATGAGATAAGGAATGGAGGAAGGGCAGGTTTGGGTAGAAAGATGAGTTCATTTGAGGGCATGTTGAGCATGAAGTACTTGTGAGACATCAAGATGGATAAGTTCAAGCAACAGGAAATTTAAGTCTGGACACACAGATATGGGAGTTGTTAGTGTTTCAATAGGATGAAGTAACCCAAAGAGAAAGAAAGAGTATAGTGAGAAAAGGAGAGTGTTAGCAATAGGACTGTGAGACACACTAGCATTTAAGGCTGAGACAAAAAAACTAAAGATATTGAGAAAGAATTGTCTGAGAAAAAGGCTGCAGGAGAATCAGTAGAGAAGATGGTACTGGAAACGAGGCAAAGAGAGCCATACAATGTAGGAGATCATCTTAACAATGGTAATACAATTGTGGGGGGATTTTATTGAGTTTCTATCTTTTCTAGTTTCCATAGCTAATAATAATTTCCACAAACCATACTCAAACCCTAAGAAAGTGAGGGAAATAAGCACTAAATACTTCAAAAAGATCAAATAAGATGCCTGAGAAAAGGTTATGAGACTTGACAATGAAGAGATCACTGGTAATCTTAGGAAGAGCCAATTCAGCAGGATGATGGATGAAGAAGTCAAGATTGAGGGTGACTCAGGAGCCACAAGGAGATGATGAAGTTCTTTTAAGAAGCCTGGCTGAGAGATAAGCAAAGAAGGGATGAACTTGGAAGAGGCCTTTGTAGAAAGCCTGGTGGAGAGTGGTGATAATGTTGGTAGGACTGTGACAGAAAATTAGGAAGGGAGCAGGGCATTCCTGGTAGTAGGCAGGAGACACCTTCAACTCAGTCCCATGCCAGCAGCACACTGCAAAGCAGAGTTTCTGGGCAAAAAGAATGGGATCTCAAGGGGTGGAAAATGGTACTAGGGAAGGTTATTCATAGAGCTGGGTCTGCTGTGGCATACTCTAGTGGGGAAGGTGTTTAAGTAGCTGGACATAACTGTTCTATAATCCATTTTATAGACAAGCCATAGAGAAAGAGAGAGTGGCAGATCTCTGTTTTCTTCTAGGCAGCAGGAAGAAGAGGGTAATCATCCAGTGCTTCTTACTCTGAAATAAGAGAATAATGAAGATATATGCAGCACAACATATAAGAGTTGAACTCCATTCAGGTGTGGTGAGAAAAGGACATGAATATGGCTTTTAATGGAAACCTCAGATTCTGTCCATTGAAAGTTGGAAGACATTTGTTATAATTTGCAAAGTTCTGAATCAATAGAGCTTTGTTATTTAATTCACATAACCACCACTTCAGAGATGAAGAACAAATGCTTCTAAGAGCCAGGTAGTTGGTCAAGTAAGGATCATAGGACTAAGGAGTTTTACTGTGATGGAATCTATTCCTTTTGGAAGCAAGTTGCTTAGGATCTCAGGTTGATGTTCAGGTGAGTACAATAAATGACAACTACAAACTATTAGAGGAAGCATTGCTTTAGGCAATATTACTTTTGAGTAATTAGTCTCGTTCTATCAGTCCACCCCCAGCTCCATGGTTCTCAAAAAGGGGTGATTTTGCTTCCTCCAGGACACATTTTTGGTTGTCACAATGAGGGGCATGTGCTACTGGCATCTAGTGAAATAGAAGCCAGAGATGCTGTTAAACATCCTATAGTGCATCCAGCTCCCACAACAAAGAACACCCTAACCTCAAATGTTGAAAATACTGAAAACCCATCCTAGCTCTAGGACTCCTGCTTGTATGTACTATTAGAAAACCCTTCAGGTCACTGCCTAGAAACACGCATTATAAGATTGGGTTTTCAAAGAAAGTGCCAAGTCCTCTTCTATACAACAGCTCACTGTCCTTGCAGTCCAGGCTCACACAGTAGTGGCAGCTCCAGCCTGTTTCTGTGTGGGCCATCTCAGTCACTTCTGCTGCACTGTCTCCTTGGATGTAGCCCATACGGCGCAGGCAGCCATCATGGAAAACCCTGGTGCAGACCCGGCACGGGAAGAGGCTCTCAGCTGTCCAGACCTCACAGATATCACACATCTCATCGTTGACAATCTGGGAAAAGATGGCAGGAATGAATAGGGATGTGAAAGTTCAGGCAGCAAGATCCTATGGCCATTAAGCACAGAGCTACCTGCATGGGGGCTGAGTCTCTGAAGCAGCCTAGAGGATCAATTCCAACTGAAGCCCCTGTAAGGTGACAGAGCTGTCTTCCTGATAGACAAGAACCAGGAGACTCTTCTAGATGCTCAGACCTTTGTGACTATGTTTTCTAACAGGAATGCTATTAGCCTCTTTGGAGAGAACAATCCATTATGAGTGATTGTCCAAGGCACTGCAGGACATTTAGTATCCTGATTTTGGCACCAAACACCAGTAGGAACTCACAGTCATTGTGATATACCCTAACTCCCTCCTCCCAAATTTCTAAATGCTTCCTATAGGGATTAGTACTAAACTAATAATTTTATTCTTATGGAAAAAATTTAAAAAGATTGTTCTGAACTCAGCTCCATCTTTCTGTTTTTGAGTCTTATCTCAACCACACTCATAACTCATATCTCTTTGTCCTGCTCCTTGGTCATCAGAAAGACTAAGACTGAATAACCCTGCTCTAACTAAACACTCACAGGCTCTCTGGGCTCCAAGCAGATATCTGGAGGCTTGTCATCATCCAGCTTCCGAGTGGGGCGGATGAAGGCAGGGGGTGTGAATCGACTGGTCCTGTCAAACTCCTCAGGCTCCACTCCACGTCCATCTCGTAGCCGTTCCCAGGCTGCACGGTTGACACTGCTCTCTTCCTGGACCACTGGGGTGCCTGCCTCTGCTTCTTTATCTTCCAGCACCTCCTGTACAGAGCCCTCTACAGTGCCACGACGAGACCCTGGTAGCTCACCCGTGCGTCGGAGGGAAGGCCTGTCCCGCAGCCCATCCTTGAAGGCAGACACAGCCAGGCTCACTTTCTGTACCTGTTCTACTGTCTGTCGCTTGGACATCAACACCCCCATGGTTCTGTGGACAAAAAGCAGAGGGAACAGACTCAGTCAATGGCTGAACATGTTAGGCCAATCTGTTTCAACTATTATTGAAGCACTGACTGTTATTAAATGGTGTTCCCCTCTTATAGACTCAGCAGCATTGAAGAATGGAGAGAGTATGTGTTAAGGAGTCAGAGAGGAGCCAGGTATGGTGGCACATGCCTGGAATCTCAGCCACTCAAGAGGTTTAGACAGGAGGATTGAAAGTTCGAGGCTAGCCTCAGAAAATTAGGAAGGCCCTAAACAACTTAGAGACCCTGTCTCAAATAAAATATAAAAAGGGCTGGGGGCTGGAGTTGTAGCTCAGTGGTAGAGTGCTTGCCTAGCACGTATGAGGCACTGGGTTCAATTCTCGGCACCACATATAAATAAGTGAATAAAATAAAGTCTATCAACAACTAAACAATAGTTTTTAAAAAAGGGCTGGGTATGTGACTCAGTGACTGAATACCCCTGGGTTCAATCCCTGGTACCAAGAAAAAAAAGGATTAAAAAAAAGGGAGTCAGAGGATGTTTTACTTCTTACTGGCCCTTTTTCGTGGCTGTCATAAGGATAATGTAATAAAATGGGTTAACAGTGCTTAGTAAAGTGGAAAGCACTCTAATATATGAAATAATATCTCCATCTTCCTTCATATGCTAAAGCAAATTTGTCCAGGAGTCCCAGTCCTCTATACTTTGAGATGATTGGAGACTTCAGAACTCAGGTTTCTCCCCTATTCCACAAGAAGACTCAAGGCTCAAAGCATACTTGCATAACATATTTCAGGCATTCAGACTGAATAAAACTGCCTCCAATAAGTGTGGTACACAATCCATCCAGGGATAGTCCTCATCAAATGCCCACTATGTATTAATCAGTGAATGAACTCCTATTGTTAGAAGACTCCTGAATCAGGTAGTCAGGAAACTCTGCCATCCCTATGCATGTGGTAAAGATCAAAAATGCTCCTCTGCCCTTCTAATTTGTAGCTGTCTTTTTGTGGATCTCTTTGTTTATCTCATAATTTGGTCTATTATAGGCTCTACAATATTTTCCACTCTTCTAAGACTTCATTAATGTCATTCCCACATTTTCAGCTTTTTTTCTGAACTGATTTTTTTTCTCTCCATACCAGGAATTGAACCCAGGGGTGCTTAACCCCTGAGCCACATCCCTAGACCTTTTAATTTTTTATTTAGTGACAGTCTCACTAAGTTGCTTAGGGCCTCGCTAAATTGTTGAGCTGGCTTTGAACTTGCAAACCTCCTGCCTCAGCTTCTTGAGTTGCTGGGATTACAGGTGTGCACCACTGTGCCCAGCTTTTTTCCGAACTGTGCAAGAAAGGTCCAAATCCTTTAAAAAAGAAATGTTATTTCTGACCTTCTCTGCAGGACGGCGTATAGCACTGGAAAGTAAGGACATGATATGGCACATTGCAAAGCTGGTCTGCCACCTCCTAGTCTAAGGAACCTTAGTGGAATTCAGCTGGAGAATACTTGTTCTAAGTGGAGCAGAGTCCATTTTAGCTTTGCCCTCAATCCATTATAATGGAGGCTTATTAAGTAGTATTAGGACAAGGCACGAACTGCTCATCATAGGAAACAGAAAAAGGAGAACAGCATTTTACCACTTGATCTATTTAATACCAAAATTCAAAGAAGTCAAATAAAACACTGGGAATATCTAAAAGAGGGTAAGCTCATAGTACTAGGGGTCACAGTGGACCTTAAGGGATGAGTAAGAAGTTCACTTGCTTGTTTGGGGAAAAAGATAACAATAGGTAGGAGAGGAGGAAGCAATTAGAAGGCTATTGTCCAGACAAGAGGTAGAGGGCTTAAACTGAAATTATGACAGTAGGATACCAAGTGTATTTATTACCATGGAAACAGAATTAAGGAAAGTTAGGGATAAATCACTGATTAGATAACTGATTAGATGAAGGATAAAGGAAGAGAATGTAGCTTAAATTGAGTAGTGAGAAGAGTGGTAGTATCAGTTACAGAAAGTAGGAAATAGTAAGTTGGATTCTGTGCAGGTTGAAATAAGGCTATCCCTGGGACATAATCTTATTCCTGATTAAATTTTTTCAATGGCTTTCTACAGCTTTTAGGAAAGGTCCCCTAAATCTACCCCTTTACCATGGCCCGTGAGGCTCTGTGCAGTTTGACCTCTCTTCTTTTTGTAATTTATTTTAATTTATTTTTTAGCTGTAGATGGACACAATGCCTTTATTTATTTATTTTTATGAGGTGCTGAGGATAAAATCTAGTGCCTCACATATGCTAGGTAAGCTCTCTACCACTGAGTCACAACCCCAGCCCCTCCCTTCTTTTTTTCTCTATGTTCCAATCATACTACCCTTTATTTGCCATGCTCCCTCTGTTTTGGAGAACCTTTGAATACCCTGTCCCATTAGTACCTATTTATCTGTCCAGCTCAGCTCAAGTATAACTTCCCTGGGAAAGTCACTGCTGACTCCAGTCCAGCAGTGCTCACAGTGCCATACTCTTTGGCTGTAGGGCACTTCATCATTACGTATTTAACAGGATGATTATCTGATCAATGTCAGCTTCCTCTATTATACTGCATTATCTTGCAGAGTATCTAGCTCTACTGCCTAGCAAGGTGTCTGAACAGAATAGATGCTTGATAAAATAGTTCCCAATTAATTAATTCATTGTGGAGAAGTCTTGATTTTAAAAATAAAACCTTAATATATATTATATCTGATGACAGCCACATATTTTTCCCCGAAACACTGCTTATATGCATCACAGTGATGCAGATTTCTACCCTGCCATCTATGTTACCAAGGAAACCCATGAATTTATAAACTGACTGATAAAAAAGGAAAGACCTATCTCCCCCGTTTGTAAATGTGTAAAATTGAAAAATATAGCTGAAGAATATTTACTTTGAATAAGAAATTCTCTTACAGAGTAGTCAGAGTAGTGGTAAAGATTTATTGAGCAAATTTGGGAAATCATGCTTCAGTGGACAATTAATAAATTGTGATTAAGAATCCTTTTTTTCAGGGCTGGAACTATAGCTCAGTGGTAGAGCTCTTGCCTAGCATGTGTGAGGTACTGGTTTGATCCTTAGCATCCACATAAAGAAACTAAACAAATAAAGGCATGCTGTACATCTACAACTATAAAAAAATAATAAAAGAAGAAATCCTTTTTCTTTCAATTGAAAACAACATTGGACATTAAAGAAATGGTTAATTTATGGTACAAGGGAAGTCTTAAACAACATGACAAACAGAGGTAGAAGTATAATTATTGATGTGGAAAGATTTTCAAAATATGTATTCGTAATGAATAAAGCAAGTTATAAAAATGCTATGATCTATCTATCTTTTTTTTTTTTTGATACTGAGGATTGAACCCAGGGTGCTTAACCACGGAGCCACATCCCCAGCTCTTTTTATATTTTGTTTAGAGACGGGGTCTTGCTAAGTTGCTGAGGCTGGCTTTGAACTCAAGATCCTCCTGCCTCAGCCTCCTGAGCCACTGGGATTACAGGCATGCGTCGCCACACCCAGCTTATGGTCTAAGTTTTTAAAGACTCCATGTACATTTTTAATCTTTTTGTTATTCTGTATTTTCTAATTTTCCTACATTGCACATTAGTCATATATACATACACACATATATGTGTATACACACACAGACATATATACACACACATGTGTATGTGTGTGTGTGTGTGTGTATGTATGTATAAAATACTAGGATTGGCATAAGTCTTATAATTGTTTGGATATGCTGTAATGTGAACCAGAACATGCTGCTTTATTGCTTAGGGCTTTGGGTCTCTGCCTGATAAAGACAGTGTTTGAAGCATATATTCTTAAGCATTTAGAATGCTCATGTTTTTTCCATATTTACAAGGCCAACTGACCTAATGAGGGTATACAGCCCGGTGGCGGTGGGAGTGGAAAGGAGAGTATATATTAAGGTTTTTGCTGAGGCTTTGAACTGGGGGTTCTTGAAGAGGCTATGCCTACAGTCCTCAGACACTGCCCACTTGCCTCATGGGCAATGGTTGTGCTCTATGGCTAGGCAGGAAGGCAAGTCCCAACTTGCAGTGAAGGCATCTGAAGGGGAGAATGCAAAACTGATACTCAACCTTTCATTTCATATTTTCATTATGAGCAATTACATTTTCCAGAACCACTAGGTTTTCTTCAGAAACCTTAAGTGGTATGTTTTTCAAATCTCTGACCATGACTCAGAGAAAGAAATATATTTTATGTGGTGATCTATATATACACGTGTTTATAGAACTAAAACTGAACCCAAAGTTTTGTAGAACAATCGTACTTTTACTATATGTGATGCTCCCTGATATTGTCTGTCCTATTTAATTTATTCTCCTGATAATGACTTTCTGTAACACAGACTACAAAACAGCAGAGCTTGACAGTATCCTCTTGGTTTGGGGGGCATGTACAGAATATACTAGCTCTCCAATAGACAGGGGCAGCCTCCTCTCAGAAGTTATATCAGAAGTTTTAGGGAACAGTCACAGACCTATGTTTATCAGAAAGAAGGAATGGGTTGGGTTTGGGTGGCTGATTGCATGTACTACTAATAGATTTGAATTTTCCAATTGAAAAACCTAGCTTTAGGATCATTTAAAAATTTTTATTAAAGAATTACATATTTTTTTTTAATTTAAAAATGGCCACCTATAAAGACAAGAGTATTAAGAAAGCTCTGCCCTGGACATGACTCATGCAAAATTAACAGTTTACTCAAGTTTGTCTTAAGAGTCTTTGTGGTTGGAGGGTCTAGAGGAGAGGAATAGCTACTAATATAGCTTTGACTAAAGAAAACTTGCTCTCTATGATAAGACATGAGAAAGACTTGATTGGCCATTGCTGGCTTCAAAGAAAGAGGAAGGGGCCATGAGAGAAGAAATGCAGATGGATTCTAGAAGCTGGAAAAGGCAAGTAAACAGACTCACCCCTAGAACCTTTGGAAAGAAATGCAGCTTTGATGATACCTTGATTTTATCCCAGTGGGACTGTGCTGGACTATTGACCTCCCAGAACTGTAAGATAACAAATTTGTGTTAAAAGAAAGGAAGGAAATAAAGAAAGGAGGGAAAGAAAAGGGAGGGAGAGAAAAACCTACTATATACAAGAGGTTGGTGATCCTTTGACCTGTAGGCCTATGTAAAACAATATTTATTGGGGCATTTTAAAATCTCACTAGGGAAACTACTGAATAAACTGTGATACATTCAAACTATAAAAAAAGTGAAAATTGATTTTAATTTTTAAATACAAAGACTAGAGCAATGATTCTAAAATGGTGAATTGTCTACATTCTGGGACAGGTTGCAGGGATCTATATCAGAAACCACAGGAGGGATATGGTGGGTTGAAACAGCAGATCAATTATAATATGTATTTGTATTTGCAAAACAGATATTAAAAGTCATCACTTTTTTGTGTAACAGACTACAGAACAGCAGAACTTCATAGCATCCTCTAAGTTTTGGGGATATGCAGAAGGTACTAGCTCTTTAAATAATTGGGAGCAGCCTCCTCTCAGAAGTTATATCATAAGTTTTAGGGAATAGCAATACAACTTATATTTATCAGAAAAAAGGCACAGTTGGACTCGGGAGGCTGAGGCACAAGAATTGCAAATTCAAGGCCAGCCTAGCAACTTAGCAAGACCCTGTCTCAAAAAAGAAAAGAAAAGAAAAAAAGAAGGCATGGGTTGAGAAAAAAAGTTTAGAAAACACTTATCTGGGGATCTGGAATAAATAGACTAAATTAACTTTTTCATGACTAATTCATTAGAGGAAAAGCAATTGCATGCATTTGGTTCTTATTGTTTTTTTAAGATGATATAATGAGAGTTATCAAACAAAGGCCAGCCAATTAAGAGGTTACTTTCTAAGTGAACAGACTCATTAATAGTGTATCAGCAAACTAACCACAGATACTTCCCAATACACTGCAGTGCTGCTTTAACCCACTGTCATTGTAAGGATACCATTATTGTCTTTAAGGATACCAAGACTGCTACCAAGCTAACCTAATTGATAATAATGCTAGAGCAATGTTTGGGGAGTTTATACTTAATAAAATTCCCATGAAGATTGAACCTGACATCTACCAGCAAAACAACTAAACAAATATAAAAACAAAACAAAACAAACCACTCTTTAGCTTGACTGCAGACTTTTTGATCACTACTATTTCTTTTACTTGAAATGGCTCATTTTTATAGACTACATTATGCCTGTAGGAATAGAACATGTAGAGCAGAACCATGAAAAGGAAATCATAAAAATCCAAACAAGACTCCAAGTAAGTTTTTTTGTTTTCTCATCATTTTGAACTGACGGTAAACCGTGAGGATGCAACAGAATTAAGACTTTAGAGTGAGCTAAATCCCTTACTTTTTAATGGAGAGGATTGAAACTATATATAAAAGACCCCTTGATTAAAAGTGAGTGTGCTGAAATCGCCAAAATGTGCACCTGGGGTGTTTGATAAATTAACACAATCAGCTCTAATTTCTAGACAAACAAGTGGTACTGATTAGTGATGAGTAAAAACAAATGCCTGGTGAGAAAATCCTGGCCTCTCCTGTGCTGAAGAAATTCTAGGAAGAAGAGCAAGTGAAAAGGAAATCAAGTTGCCAGGATCCTATAAATGGTTCATAATGACTACTTTTTTGGCTGGTGGATGGAACTGAGATTTTCAGCTTCTTTAACAAGGATAAAAAGATGTTGTCCTAAGAATGATGTGACTATCTAAAATTTATGGTATAGGGATGTTTTTGGGAAAAATCTTGAGGAATAGGAGCAGGTGCTAGAAAATAACAGTGGGACAAGAAGGTAGAACAGGGCCATCTGACAACACGAACTAGAATAAATGAAAACAGCAACCACCAGAGTCTTTCTTTCAGTAAGAAAAGGCTGTCTAGATGTGTTTGTCAGGCAGTAAGGCATATGTGGGCAGCCTGGGATGTGTGTGTGTGCAAGACACACCCATTTTCTGCAGAGTACCTACTTATAATGCAATGGTATTATTTATAAGGGTAAAGTTGTGGGAGTAAGGAGGAGGGATTGCTCCACAGCAGGAGCTGGTGGAGAAATCAGAAAGGCAAAGGCGGCTAGGGAACCTCTATAAAGCTTCTTAGCTGTGGAGATCTGAGGAGCAACCCTCCTAATAGGCAAGAGTTGCCTCATTCAGCATGCTAAATGTAAAGTATATTTACTTGTTTTAATCTGATTCTTGATATGGGAATGGCAACTGTTCAAAAAGCTCAAATGCAATTAAAAGGGATTTCTTGAGCTTATGAGGACTTCTCTAGGTAGGAACAAGACAAAGAATCTCTGGGGAGGTGGGAGGTGTAGAAACAGCCAAAGAGAATGATTAATCAAGAGGGAGAAAAGTTTGAATGGTTCCCTCTGCCTTCCATAGAGCATCTATTCTATAACTATTTTTGAATGAATGTTTCAGAGATGACTGGGCAACATAGAAGTTTATTTGAGATCATGGTGCCAGTACCTTTCTCTTTATCAAAGTTGGCCAGATAACTGGTCAGACCAAATCTCTGGAACTCAATTCTAGAAACTGTGAAGTCAGTTCATCTCTTTACATTCACTCTGCTTTCCCAGAGGCGGAGCCTGAATGATGAGTCAGGACTTGAAGGGATGAGAACAGGTACCATACAGCAACTACAGGCGATTTCTTTTACTACAAAGGAGAGCTATGAAATTTTGGGATTTAGCCAATTTCCACAACCACAGGATAAGACAAGAAAGACTCATATTACCAAAGTCAACAGTTCCATGAATTTATGCTGTGTCCTGTGGACAGTACCTGACCCACAGGAGAGTACCTGCCTTAAAGGCACAAGCAGGAAGCTTGAAAATCCATCTCCTCTGTCCCAATTTTTGAGAGAGAGAGAGAGAGAGAGAGAGAGAGAGAGAGAGAGAGAGAATTTTTTAATATTTATTTTTTAGTTTTTGGTGGACACAACATCTTTATTTTATTTTTATGTGGTGCTGAGGATCAAACCCAGCGCCCCATGCATGCCAGGCCAGTGCACTACCGCTTGAGCCACATCCCCAGCCCCTGTCCCAATTTTGAGCAGGAGAAATTTAGCATGAGTGGTATCTGCATGTTCAGGTGAAAAACTTCAGAGTGGTCAACAACTGGCTCCTTGAAGTATGCGAGTGTCTGAGGGACTAAGAGCCTAGGGGAAACCATGTATTTAACATAGAATAGCCACAAAGGTATGGAAAACCAGCAGAACCAGGGTTTATAAAAAATGCAGAATGCTTAGCATAGAACCTGAGTTTACTGTGCACATCAGCATCAAGCCCAAGACTTTAAACAGAAACCATCAAAAAAAAAATGTCCCTTACCCTTTGCTGATCTTTTGAGAAAATCCAAGCCCCAGATGGTCCAGTTGTTCTCCACTGACTGGCTGTTCCTTTAGGAATCCAGTGCCTCCTACAGTGCTCTTGGTGCCTGTTCTACTCAGTCATTCTGGCATCTGGTGGTAGGCTATACACTATTTTTAGATTTCATATCTGTAGACCCTGAAGGGGTTGAACTATTATCTCCCCATTTCCTTCCATTTACCTCTGCTTATGCAGGAAGACAGAGTCACCCTAAACTGCACAGTTTTTTCTGGGGTTTCCAAGGAGCAGATGGGCTAAAGATTGCATAAAACTGTCTTCCTGGCCTCAGCTCAAGACTATGAGGCATGAGGGAGGTCCTGCTGCTACTTAATATTTACTGAAAGCTCACAGAGCTCTAATATACACAAGAACAAAATTATGGAATGATCTTCAGCCTCTGGGGGACTGGGCTGAGTCTTCATTAAAAGCTACAGCGCTGACTTCCCACAGAAGCAAAGCAACAGTTAAGGAACATCACACCATCAGTGATTGGCTGGTGTGAGCAAGCAGAGTTTTTCAGCAAGATGGAGAGGCACTCCCTGTTTCTGCTGTAGGTCCCCAAAGCACAGATTCAGTTCCATATAATGCAGTTGTTATACTTTGATTATCACCATTAACTTGTTTGTTGAATCTACAAATGCTTGCTGAATGCAGCCTACTATGTGTCAGGCACAGATCAAGTGCTAATAACTGTTGGTAGAATGAACAAATGGAACCTCACTCAGTCTGTGAGAATGAAGTAAGTATGTGCATGTGTAGGGGGCATAAGTATAGGATTAAAAAAAAGGTGTTGCTTGAGCTAAATTTTGAATGTGAGTGGGAGTTACCCTAGTGGATAAGGGGGGAAAAAAAGCATTCCAGGAAGAGGTAAAAACATATGCCAAGGCATGGAGCTATATGGGGACTCCATCATGACTTAGATGATACTGAAGCCAGCCTGAGTGCTGGATAGAAATAGACAAGGAAACCTGTTTTCCCATATGAGTTAGCATCAGCTTAAAGGACTGGATTGAGGTAGTATTCTTAAAATATTTGTTTAGAAGGGAATATTCATTTGAATTTCAGGCAGAAAAACAAAAATTCAGAGAATTGGATTTCCTAAGAGTAGGAAAAGGTACACCCTGAAAAGTCCCAGGGCTAACCAATGAATACACTGCTTAGCCTTAGGACCCAACAGGAAACTCTTCAGAACCTACAAGCTGGTAGGTGGTAACTGCAGTGAATCACTGGAGTTTTCTCTATGGGAGATTCATAAACTTCAAAAACAACCAACCTACCCCTCCCCGCAAAAAAAGCCAGTTACTTAATGCTCTTAATGCTGTTTTAGTGAGAACCCCCCCCCCAAGAGGAAACATTTCTTAAAGCCAAATAGAGATGACATATACTCATATATATATACACTTCACAAATTATAGCATGCTATCGAAATACAGAGTTGTTCCATATCTTCCACATTTGCTATAAGGCAAGAGGATGACCAGTTCACTCAAAGTATATGGACAAGAGTAATTTTGGCAGGGGGCTAGAATGTGGTTGCTTAAGGTGGCATAGAGTAGCAGTTGAGTTGATGCCTGGGAAAAGGCATACTCAACATTCATTATAGTAAATACTCTGTAAAGCTGTATTTCTCCCTTACTGTCCCTGTTATTTATAGTAAATGATTAGAGAAATGCAGACTGATTCTGTGGGAACTTCTCAAGGGCAAGAACTCTCATATTTATACAGTATAGTGCTGGCAAGTAAGTAGCACTTAGTATGTATGTGGGTCTCTGAGGGGATTGTTGGAACTGGAGTGGAGGAGAATGGAGAGAGATACTATAATGGAAATAGCAATCATGTTTCCATCTGAACACTGATAATCTAGGTTTCTTGGTCCAAAGCTGATAAGCAATTCCTGTCAGAACTTAGTCATTAAGATTGAGGGGTGGGGCCTGGGGTGGGGCTCAGTGGTAGAGTGCTTGCCTGGTACGTGTGAGGCACTGGGTTTGATCTTCAGCACCACATAAAAATAAATAAGATAAAGGTATTGTGTCCATCTACAACTAAAAAATATTAAAAAAAAAAAACCAAAACCAAGATTGAGGGCAGAGTAGACAATGATATATTCCCATCAGAAATGAACGAGTCAGCCAGGTGTGATAGTGCAGGTCTGTAATTCCAGCAACTCAGGAAGGTGAGGCATGAGGGTGGAAAATTCAGGCCCAGCCTCTGCAACTTAGCAAGACCCTGTTACAAAATAAAATAAAAAGGGCTGGAGATGTAGCTCAGTGATAGACAGCCCCTAAATTCAATCTCCAAAACTGCAACAAATACCCGTTTCCCCAAAAAACCCCAAAGAAATTCATAAATCAATTTGGAAAATGAAGATAGCAGAAACCAAACAACATTGCTGGAGAGAAGCATGTGAGACTGAAAGATAATAGATTTTATAGCTAAAGAGATAGGAAACCATTTGCATAAATATGATCCATTTAGGAACGGGAAAAAATGCAAAGAGCGAGGGAAATAGACCTCACTATTTGGTTTTACTATTCGTGTTCAAGGAAAAGGAAGCACTGTTAAAAATATGGCAACTATTGGAAAAAGAAAAACCATAAAAATGTGATCAGAAAATATGTGGAAGATCAAAGACTGAGAAATCCAGACGGTAAAATCCAGACACATTTTGTACATACTCCAATGAAACTGGGTGAGCCATTCTCTCTGTGTTTTTCTTTGGAGACAGCATTTTTGAGAAGATTAAGGCCACCTGGTAATTCCTTCACATACATTCTAAGATGATTTAATTTGCAGACTCATACTGTGATTAAAGGGGAGTTAGGAACTATTCTTAGACATTTTGAAATCTTAATGTTTATCCAATGCTAGACATCAGGAGATGGTATTCAAGGTCCAAGATTTGGGGAGCACTTAGATCAACCAAGCAATTTTTCTCCAGAGTCATGAGGGGTACAATACCAAGAGCCCTCAATAAAAAGCAATTTAGGAATAACACTGCAAGGAAAAAACTCTGAATTAGAGCAAAGATATTGTTTACAGACTTGATGCTTCTGATTTTCTTTACAAATAGTATATACCTTTGTTTATTTTGGTCTGTTAAGATGATGAGAGGGGTTTGAAATGAGAGGATTATAAACAACTTTATAATGGGGACATGGGAACCAATATAAACCTCTGTCAGAGTTTACTCCATTGAGCTGTGCAATAAGTACCACACCCATCCTTCAGGCAGCCATAAAATTAAAAAAACAACAACTTTCACTAGGTGAAGTAGGTTGTTCTGTCTCTTACTAACTGGGTATCTCAATATGTAATCCCAAGAGACTGAGGAAGCCAGTTTTATTAAAGGAGGATGTCTCTAGGTTTGGATCCGTGTAAGAGAAGAAGGGTAACAGGAAAAAATTTCCAGAATGGTTCTGTGGTCAATTTCATTGCTTGGCCCAGAGTCTATCCTGGGGCCCAAAATTAAATCCTTGGAATTCACCTGGAAGGAAAATGTTGAGGGGAACAAGACAAGGGGGTATCAATGTCAGATAGAGACACTTTGCTCCCTAGACAACAGATTCCCAATAAGCCTTCCTTAGCTCTCAATTTCCTGCCCTCCTCCTCTTCCTCATGCAGAGGCGCAGTTGTACAAAAGTATCCTGAGTGGTATTTAAGGATGAATGTCCACTGGTATGCAGACTGAGAAGGCCTAAACAATAGTGGGCAACACTCTTTCTTAAACATAATCATGTCTTTCCTTCCTCTTCCTGAAGAGTTCTTTGGCAGAGAAGATGGCCTCAGGACACTCCATCCTCTGAATTGTTTCTCTAGTTTCCCTGAATAAGTTCTGTCAAAGATCACACCAGAGGCCTTTCCTAGACCCAACCATGTCCAGAGCCACCTCCAGTATCATTACTGTGGGGCTGCCAATGAAGGAAGCCCCACACTGAAATCTGGGGATTCAGTTTCCACTCCTGTGGCAGTCTCATCTCCAGTCAAACTGTCCTCACACTTGTTTAATCATCATATTTATTGAGCATATAGTATTGCAAAGACCTATGCTTGGCACCTTAATGTAACTTATTAACAAACATTCATTCTTTCTTCTGCTTTTCCCTGGTATTTTTTTTTTTCAAACAAAATTTGAAGAACAGATCTCATGATTCCAAGCTTTGTGATCTTGGCAAATTGCTAAACCTCTATCAGTCTTGAGTATCTAAGGTTTCAGAGGGGATAATTTCATGATGCTGTTGTAAGGATTATATGAGATGTTTAAATATACCAGCATGGTGCCTGCCACACTGGTACTCAAAAATCCTTTGCATCCTTTATTTCTTCCTTTAAAGAACTTTCCTTTTAGGATGTGCCAAACTCAGTTATTTCACCCAATTATATTGCTTCTGGATGATCGGGCCCAAAGGCTCAGATCTATCTTTGCTTCAGAGGCTTGGCTGGTCCTCCTCTCCCTTGACCCCTGTGCGCTTATAGTAGCTTCTGCCTCCACTAAAGTCCAGCTTGGAGCCAAGTCCAGCTTGGAGCCAATTGGGTTTATCACCGAAAAATTCTAATAGAGGAAGGTAGAAGCAGGAAATGAACAACCACCAACAGCCCCAGAGTCCCCACCTCTGAACCATGTTGGGGGTGGGGGATAAGTGAGATGGAGCCCCCTACAGGAGGTCAAGGCCAAAGTCCTCGGAGTAATGGGAAGTCACTCAAAGATCCCATGGCAGGATCCCCCTCTCCTCAGTCAGAGGTTCCTTCTCTGGGCAGCTCTAGGGCACAGTCTAAGGTCCTTCTTCAGAGGCTTCTCTCTGGGATCCACCATGACCGCACAGGCTCCTGGGGGCTCCCTTATGTTCCCACAAGATCTTCCATGGAGTTAACTCCAGAGACCACCCTGGTGCTCACTCCCCAAATTTCTCAGGTCTCCCTAGGGACAGTGCCCTCTGCACTGGGGCTGGTGGCCTCCACACTAGGGCACCCCACGGCAGTAAGTGCACAGTGCCATGGGCGTCTCCATCCACGCAAGGAGTCTCCCACGGGAGCGGTCACTCGGGGTTAATCCTTTTACAGAGGGACCCCCTTGGGGGCGCTCCCACACTGGCACCTCGAGAGTCCAAGGGGACAGTCCGGGCCCGCAGACCCGCCCCTTCGAGTGACGGCCCGGCCCCCGCCACCCCCGCCCCCGCTTACCGGGACCGTCCGGGTGCGGTACTCGGGTCCGGGGCTGGCGGACTCTACACCGCTGGTCCCGGGCTGCCCACGGCCGTTCGGGCGCTGAAGTGCTGGGCCAAGCGCCGGGAGCGGGCGGCGCGGGCGGCGCGGCAAGCTGAGGCGGCGACGCGCGCGCCCTGAGCACACCCACCGGCCCCGCGCGGCTGCGGCGCG